TGTTCGTTAGACGTCGCTGTACGCGTGCCAAGGGTACCCAGCACGCTCTGTAAATACCGACTCCAGAGTCGGACACGAATTAAACGCCCCCACTCATTGCAACTGCCCCCCCCCCCACACACACACACGTTCACACCCCAAACAAACACGTCGATAATGATCTGTTGGCGGTGCGAGTACCCTCCACTAGTGTTGTGGTGCCAAAGCCCATAATGCCCACAAGAGCACAAAGAAGAGTCAGTCTTTATATTCATGGCGGGGCTGGCTGGGGCCTGGCTGGGGCCGGCTGGGCGCGAAAAGGGTCGTTCTGCCCACCTGCGCCATGATTTGTGGCCACGCTGCATTCGGGCCAAATAAACTAGCGATGTACGAACCGCCACGCTGCTCGCCGCGGTGCGTTTCGGCCGAAGGTTCAATGGGAGAGAGAGAGACAGACAGACAGAGAGAGAGAGAAGGGTGTGACAGAGAAGGAGAAAACACATGGAAAAAAACGACAGAAAGTAAAGAAAAGAGAAAACCACGTGGTGAATGTGCGCGGCCGCAATGGGTTCCCGATGCGATACACGTAGCTCCAGCCAGCCTCTAATCCGGCAGTGCCGGCAGCGCGCTCGTCGGCGAACGGCAAACACAGGTACTAACGACCTTGTTCCCCACCGTCGCCGGCCGGACTCAGGGTGTGGGAACGCGGGGCAAGGCGTAGCCCCCGCCGCGTCTGCCGGCCGGGGGTTTAGCAAATTTCATGAAGATTTCAAGGTAACGCGCCGGGCTCTTCCCAACTCTTCCTGCAAAAGCACGTGAAAGCACGCAAAGCGAGCAGACGCAATGCTGAATTTTTCATCCGAGCATCGCGTCCATTTGGGCGCGGGCTTCGACACCACTGGAGGTGCGCGACCTACAGTGCGCCGCGGAGCCGCGGACGACCCCTGAATGGCTGCTACTTTCTGAAACCGAATTCGCGTCGCAGTTTTGCGTGTCACGTAAACTTTGTGTGAAATTAGATTACCCGGGCGGAGCCCCAAGTTTGCTGATGCTCGGTGGCCGAGAGCGCCGCGCCGCAGTCGCCCTTTATTTTATTTCATAACCCGCGCTACGCTTTCGCGGCCTTATTTTCCTCCGCCGACTTCTTCATATTTTCGTGACCGCGACTTTGCGATCGCGATGTGTAGTGTAGTGGTGGCGCGCACTTCAGGGCGCCTCGCGCACACAATGCCGCACAAATCACAACGAATGGCAAACAGTGCCTGCCACCGGCTGGTGTGCACAATGAGCGAGGCGGCATAAACTAGCGATCGGCCGAACTCGCGTAGCTGGGTCGGCGCGTTAATAGTGCCCGATGGGACACTGTAGGACATCGAGGCGGCAATGAATTAAGGTAATGCCGATGAATGCCAATGGAACCCCAGTAGATACGTAGTTAATTGTGGCCCAAATCAAAATGATCTGTTTTTGTGAACCTAGCGGTGAACTTTTTTTTCGTCACCACCAACTACTCAACAACGCGGAAGTGAGCCAGCAAGGAGAGGGCGGCGCTTTGACGGAGAGAGCGCCAGGCTTCACTCCAAGTGGGGCACTGCGACACTGGAAATGGCCCGGAGCGGAGTGAGAGCGACAGACGATCGCCGAGACGGACAGCCACCCCACCTGGCGGCGACCGCGGCACAGACGGGGCTGGCAGCCAGTCGTGGTCAATTAAAAGACCGGCCACCTCGTGCGGGGAACTGACTCCGAGTTCCGTCTCTCTCGCACCCACGGGGAGACAGCGCTGGCCGCGCTCCAAGTTGTCCGACCTGTAATTGCCGTCCATTCGATTCGACGTGGTCGTCGCTGCCGGTGTCGTGGCTGTGCTCCGATTGGCTACGCTACCCGCATTACACTACAAGGCTCGCTTCGCACAGAGGCGCTAGTGTAGCGGGCCGCCCGAAGCGCCGAGGAGGTTTCCTCTTGTAATCAAAACTTTTCCCCCAAGAATAATAAGCAGGGTGCCAATTATTCTGGCATTTTCTTCCTCGTCGAATCTCATCATGACCCCTCTGTTACACCCATCCGCCTCACTCTGTTGGCTCCGTTTTGGTGAGACTCACGCGTGCAAACGTAAAGCGAAACCCACAGTGCAAGGCCTGGGAGCCCTCTTAACTTTTCATACGTAAGGGAGCTTTGCGTGAAGCCGCGGCCTGCCGTGCCCTTCCTCCCGTCTGGACACGGCGGATGGAGAGCGGAATACAAGGCTATTTGGGGTGTGCGAAGACCGAGGGGAGAAAAGAGACGGACACACAGACAGACGCACAGACCGACAGACGGACAGACAGACATGCAGACAGACCTGCAAACGGTGGGGGTGGCTGACCTGTTGCTGGGGTCTTGGCCTTGTATGCTCTTCCCGTACATGCACACGCACTTTGCCTTGTTGAGCGGCCGATGCTGCTACACTGCGATAGCCTCATGAATTTGTTTATGCTTTTTTCGGACGCTGCAAACTCCCGGAAAGAAAAAGATTTCCCTCCGCTTTTCCGGGTGAGTCCTGCTGTGGCACGTTCGGCCGGACGGCGCGCCACGGCGGTGGCGGCAAGGGTAAACTTTGCAAAGCCGGTCCGGCCCGGCCGAGCCAGAGGAAAAAGCGAGCTGGAAATGTTCCCGGGCGATAAAGCCAACAGAACAACACCAAATTTCCTCTCCAGAGAGCAGGGTCTTTTTCCGCGACGCTCAGGAGGAGTGCGGCTAGCGCCAGGGCGGGCCGGGCGGCGGAGTAGAATAAAACAATATATACATCGGACATCCCATAACTTCTCATGGAAATGAGATTTGCAAGATTCAGTAATGGATGCCGGGCTGGCTGCGCCATGGCTGCGCGCTGCCGCGCTGCGCCGCGCTGGCTGGCTTGTTGGGAACCAGGCGGCGGGGCGCGGGGCGCAGAGGGCTTTGCACAGGGCAGTCGGGCGAGAGCCGAGAGCAGGTCCAGAAGGAATAGATAAAGAGCGGCCGAGGAGGGGGAGAAGAAGGAGAGAAGAAGGGAGTTGTCATTCGGCATCGCACGCCGGATCGCTGAGAGGGAAGACGAGGGAGGAAGCAGTGGAGAGGGCAGGCTGTGATTCCGAGAAAGACGAAGGGGAGGGGTTGTCTCCCAGGAAAATTGGGTTAACACCAGGCGGGAAGGCCGACGCCACGCCACTGCGACCTCCCTCACGCCACGGACGATTCGTGCGAATGAAAAGTACGCCCCGCCCCCCGCCCCGCCCCGCCCCGCCCCGCCCCGCCCCGCCCCGCCCCGCCCCGCCCCGCCCCGCCCCGCCCCGCCCCGCCCCGCCCCCCAGCCACAGCGAGACCCCGTTCAGCCTTCTACACAACAGCAGGGAGGCGCGCTATGAACTTCCGAAGGCAGCACCAGGCCTTTGGAAACTGTCTTTCGGCTCCTGCTAGTTTCAGGAGAGGAATCATCACCGCGAGAGGAATCGTGCAGCAGCCGAAAGAGGTCGGGCTCACGCTGGACTAGACAAGAACACATTCTCAACAAAAAAAAACCTTTTTTTGGGGGGTGAGACAAAGCAAGCACCCTGGTCCGGCGGTCGGGAACGATGTGTGCGATTCATGCGAGTCGCGAATCCCCCTTACAGCGCTCCGCGCAAAGTGTTTCTTGTGTTTTCTCCTCCACTGTTTACATTTCACGGCTGCTTTCGGCGCTTCCAGGGAGGCCTGAGCCATAAAGGGGACTCTCGCCCTGACACACACGCGGCGCGGCCGCCCTTTCTATCTCCTCCCACAAACACAGCAGCGGTGCGACACACGACAGGTGGCCGCGAGATGGAAAACTCATCCGCTAAAATGGGGAAAGGCAAATTACAGTGGGGGACGCGCACCAGGTGTGTCTCTCTGCTGCCAGCCTCGTCCGCGCGGCCGGGACTCGTCCAACCGGACTGGAAGCCAAATCACCAAGCCTCCAACTACTTCCGGGACGTCGCGTCGACTCGACGCGCGGTGAACAGTCCTCGAGACAGTCCTTGGATCAGCCCAACGCCAAGTTGCTCGCCGAGGTTTGCAGTGCTGTGGATTTATGGAGGGCGACGCGGGCCCGCGGCACGCTGTTACCTATACCTGTCTTCACAGTGACTCCCCCCTCCCCCGCCCCCGTCACGCCCACGCACGCTGTGGAGAAGCAACCGCAAGTAGAGGCACGCGCGCGACGAGAGAGTCTTTCCAACACGAATCCACTTCCGCGACCACACTGTCGACTGTCGGCAGCCTTGGCGGCACCGTCGCCTGACTCGCGCACACCGTGGCCAACTACAGCGAGTGAAACACGGCGCTTACGCGGAAAACGCGCGTTTGAAACTCATTCCGCTAAAAGGGAGTGGTACCTCGAGGGGTAGCTCTTACATCACAGCGGCCGAGCCTGGCCGTGCCTCGCGGCGAGGCGAGGCGAGGCGGGTTCCCAATAGTTCCACCTCTGCGGCTTTCGGTCCGCTACATTTTCGCGAGCGACGCGGGAAAACTCGCGCGCCGTGACAGGCTGACAGTGTGGTGACGTCACGGCCGCAGTGACGTGTTTGCGGCGGAAAGGGCATCCAGCCACTTTGGATATTTTCGCGTAAGCCGTTCGGGCGGCAAGGCGGCGAGGCAGCGGGGCTGTCGCGGAGGGTAGTCTCGAGAGGATTATTACTTTGTCACATTGTTGCCTACTTACGGGAGTTACCCAATCTAAGTTGCAGCCCCTGCCCCCTCCCCCTCGCTCTGTCTCTCTCTCTCTCTAACCGCCCCTCGCTCTCCGGCGGCAGACCCGCTGCTCCGAGTCCCCGCCCGGAGAATAGCAAAACAGGGCGCGTGTTTTGAATGACCGATTGCAGACAGGTGTGGCACACCGTGCGGCACGTCGCGGAGAGGGGAGGGGGCACTGTTTTCCCTCCGGAATCGCGTAGTGGAGCTGACGGCGCCACGTGTGTTGTGGATAGGCGCGCTTGAGGTTAGGGTTGCCACCCGCACGGCTCACGCAAGTTAGGGTTGCCACCTACCTGTACCACGTCGGCAACGTCGTCGACCGGAGGTATCATCGGCAGCGGGCCGGCATCTGCAACACGGAAAAAAGACAAATTGAGAAAAAGTTGGCGTTTTGGAGTGAGGGCCTCGTTGCCCGCCGTGAGACCGGCAGTTTTTCATCCCCCTTCAGAACCTCCCAGAAAGGAGGAAGGAGGGGGGTGGGCGGTGTGTGCGGAAGGGGCCGGAAGGGGGAGGGGGCAGCGAGATGCACACGCTTTGGCTTTCAGGTGAATGCAAACAGTGAGAGAGCACTCTTCTTGTTTCATTCATGGCAGCGGCCGATGCAGCCAGGAAGCAGTCCGAGTGCAGCCGGAGTGCAGCCCGAGCGAGGCCGGAAGCTGGCCGCCCGAAAAAGTCGGCCCAAAGGCCGCCCGGAAAAGGCGTCCCGGAAAGGCGACCGGAAAAGCGGCCGGAAAAGCGGCACGCCAAGACGGACGGCAGACGGTGTGCCTGCAGCTGGTGCCTTTCTCAGTCATCCGTCCATCACCGAACTCACCAGAGGCAGTCAGCCAAAAAGTTGCAGCCCTTGCTTTACGAGGCGCACTCCGTTACAATCTTGCCCCGAGCACGCGGACTTGAGCGCTCGCTGGAAAACGCACGTAGGCACGGGACCGTGCACAGTAGGCCTAGACCCAGAGCCGGCGGCCAAAACTCCAGACGCGTTTTGAGCTCCAAAGTCGCTCAACATGACACGAACCTCGCGTGTGACCCCACCAATGGATTCCTCTTTCAAAGAGCAATCCATAGGTGGGGTCACACGTTCAATTAGAGTCGCTTAGAAGCTCAAAACGCGTCAGGGCTTTTGACCGCCTGGCCCACTGTGCGTTGTTCCGAATGAGGTCGCAAGGTGAACACGCCGTTCAACTACGTTTGGCGTTCGCTTCTTTCCCCCTTTCTTTGACTTGCTGCCTGAATTAGAGTAGTTAGTAGTTGTTGCGGTAGTTGCGCACTGTTTGCCGCCGACTAACTTCCGGGAACTGTGGGAGCGGCGTCCGCGGGAAAGAGTGCAGCCTCACACGGGGAGTGACACAGTTTGAAGGCGCTGCTGTTGTTGCGTCCAGCCTGCGTCCAGCCAGCAACCTCCAAGGCCGCCCCTGGCCGCCCCCACGGCCCCATTTACGTTGAGATTGTCTCGCTACTTGTAACTCGAGCCGCCCAACTTGGTGTGCCTAGTGGAGATGGATGCCACTCTCTTGCGTCCCTGGCCGACCCGGAGTCACCGCGACACCGTGACGGCGATCAGTTTTCAGCGGCCGGGACCGCCACCCCCAAAAAGCGTGCTCGTCGGGACAAGGTCGGCCCAGGAGCTCACTAGCACTCCGCACACGGCGACGACATTCACAGCTCTTGTTTTTACGGGCCTGCCGTCACCTACCTCCCGGGACCCGATCCAAGCTCTGATCCTGCTGGCATACGATCGAATGAATGTGGTCTCTCAAGCTCAAAAAGCGCCTGCTGGAGACGGGATAGGCAACACGCTCCTCACAGGTGCCGGGCGGGTCAGCCTACGCTGCAAGGCGATTGCGATTGCGATTAATGGCTGGACCACAAATGATCGTCCGCCTTTTCGGACCCGCCCCGCCATGTCGTTCTGCGTCTCTCTCGCTCGCGCACCGCAGAGTGCGAGAGAGACAGAGACAGATCCTTCGGTTAAACACACCGGCTTCCGCTTCCCGCTCTTTTTAACGTGGGGCCTCGCTCCCCGTGCCCTCTGCGGTGGTGTGAGTGAGTGTGTGAGTGTGTGTGAGTGTCGTGGAGGAATGAGAGGGTTCCAAATGGGGAGGGAGATGATCGAGGGATGAGGGTCACGGGGGTGTCGGGGTGCCGGGTGTGGGGGCGGGGTAGGGGCTGCAAGGACGTGATGGGATGATGGCATGGCGCATTTTCGTGGCTCGTGGGAGGCGGTGGGAGGCGATGGAGGCGGTGGAGGCGGCAGAGGCGCGCACGGAAGGTGCCGTATCATTCGTGAGCCGATCCGAGCCGAGCAGGGCCACGGCGAGTGCAGCCGAGGCGCGCGGACCTGGCCGAGCCGAGTCGGGCCGCTGCTGCGCGCTGCTGCGTCATTTGGCTTTGACGACCTCGTCGGCTGAGACGCCAGGACGCCGGGACGTGTGAGGGAGCGCGGTGGCAGTGCAGTGGGTAATGCTGCAGGTGGCACTCTGACCCTGCAGCCTCAGCCCCGCCTTGGCCTTGGAGGCCTTGCTGGCCTTGCCCTTGATAGAGTGTACCGACGTCACCCGGCCCAAACTTGCCGCCTCGCTCCCCGCAGGGCCGCAGGGGATAAACTTTTGGCTTCGCAAACTCTAAAATGCAACACGCAAAACTTGTCAAAGTATCGAAAGTCGCATTAAGACTTTTATTTGAAAGCCGCCCCGGCGTAGGCCGGCCTCGCCAGCCCCATGGTTCCCACGGACCGGTGGTGTGGCCGGCCATTGTCTGCGGAATGAGGGGAGGGGGGGGGCGTAAATTACTTGGTCCTTTTAATTTTTCACCCCGCCCCTCTTTTTGTCGTCCACTTTCCCCCTGCGCGTGGAGCGGGCCGCAGCGCCGCGGCCCAGGGCGCCAAAAAAGAAGGGGAGGAACGAGACGGGCACCACAATAGTGAAGAGAATGTCTCATTATTGCACAAGCCGAGGCAAGCTTCACGCCTTTCCTTAACGAGTTTGGCTTAAGGCGCTTAAGGCGCTTAAGCGTGTGTGCGCATACGCCTTTGCTTTGTGTGTGAGAGTGTGCCCTTGTGTACTCGTGTGTGGTGGATGTGTATGTGCAGAGAGAGAGCGAACCAGCAAGGAAAGGGGGAGCTTCCCATTTTGGCAGGAAACATAAATGAGCCACCTGTTACGCCCCCCACCTTTGGACTCATTCCCTCGTACATATGGACCCATATTTCACAAAGAGTGGCTAGAAGCTGATGGCGAGGGCGAGAAGGCCCGGAGGGGTGGGGGGAGGGGAGGTCACGAGGTGGACGAGGACGAATTACTGGTGGTGGACTAGCAGCGACCAGCGACACGCTACAGTGCTACAGAAAGGGTCGCCGCCGCCGTCTGTACACACTCGTGGCCCCGCCCCTCCCCTCCCCGCCCTGCCCCACCCGATCGGAAACATGATTGACGCTCTTTGTGGCGCTTTGAGGCGACCCGCTCCGCTCCGCTCCGCCCGGCCACGCTCCACAACAAAGCGTGGAGTGGAATGGGGAAGGGCAGAGGGGAGGGGAAGGGGTGAGGACAACGCGAGCGGTGCAGGGGAATGCCGTTGGAGATACGCGGATTTGCAGGGATAGCGTTTCCAAAGGGCTGGGCCGGCCTGGGCTCTGGGGTGCGAAATAGCGTGGCCATTCTCATCGGAAACAAAAGGGACATCGGTGGTGACCGGCCTCCGCCAGCCTCCGCCCCCCGCGGTGGTGAAGCCTGACTGGAGCTGCAGCAGCCGGCCCGTCGCACCTTGGGCCAGTTTGGGGGTTTCAAGTGGGGCAGCTGGGCATTGTCGCGATGAAGGAAAGCGTATCGGTTGTGCTTCTTTTTCTCTCCCTCGTCCAGAGCCTCTGACGAGAACCCACAGGACACCACTACGCCCCGAACGACTTCACACACACGCACACACCGTCCTGCAGCGCAGCGCTGTTTGGAATCCAGCGAGCTTGGAGCAGTTCCTTTTACTGGTGGCGTGGATGTCGGGGGACGCTCTCCGCCCGCAGCTACATGGAGTGTCACAAACACGGTCACCACACTGCACGCGGCCCTTCCCAGAACCCAGCGCCGGCAAACGCCAGCGCGCACTCGACTCGCGCGCAAACACCCTACACGCTCAAATAGAAACTGTAATTGCCCTGCGAGTGCTCGCAAGAGAAACGATAAGCATTCCGATCACGAAAACTTGGGTTGCTCTCGCTCAACGACGCTCTGTTTTCACGACAGCGGCGACCTACAGCGAGGCCACGCCTACGCATGCGGTCGTGAAGCTGTTAACAGCACTACACCCGAAAAGGCGGCAACTCATTCCCGCGTGTTCATGAAAGCGTTGCTAGCGGGGTGTACGGCGGCACGGCAGCACGGCGCGGAGCCCGCTTGGCCATGAATAGTTTACCAAAGGCCGCCCTTGCTTCTTCCTTCCGCTTTCGCTGTCAACATCGCGCCTTGGCCTGCCTTGGCGGGTCTCGGCTGGCCTTGGCCCCGGGTCAGCGACGAGAAGTGACCCGGTCCCGACTCGCTTCGAAAGAAGGAGTCTTGAAAACGGTCAGATACATGACTACTTTCCGGCCAGTAGTATGGTTGTGTGGTGCGTGGACGCAAGGTGGTCCTTGAGTAGTAAGATCCCCCCACAGTTGTCTGCCGCCATTTTGGCTGCCCATTGGGGTGTCGGCTGACGTGGGGTGAGGTTACTTGCACTCGCAACGTGAAACAATGGGGATCCAAAATGGTGGCACGCAACTGTGGGGGTATCTTACTACTCAAGGACCACCTTGCGTCCTGCTCGTCATCCTGCTCCTCCAAACTCTCCGAGGCGTGGGCAGCCGGGCCGCGGAGCAGGGGAGGGCCTCAGTGACACCCGGGAGACGAATGAATGCCCGGTCCGCGCCTTGCGGTACCAGATTTCGCGGAAAGGGCGACGACTTGATTAGGAAGGGCGCCCAGAAAGGGGAAAGTGGAGGGCGGTGGGTCTGGCAGTTTGAAATAACGGGGGAGGCGATGAGATGGCGGCCGCGCGGAGGGGTAGGGGGAGGGGGCGGTGGGGCGGTCAGAGTGGTCGGTTTCTGACAGCGATGGATAACTCGACAGCACACCAGCCTCGCCAAACCGGGCTCCGTCGTCGCGGGGCTCGTGGTTCGCGGAAACCTCGCTGGTTTCGGGAAGAGACAACGTGACGCGAGCGGTCGGCCAGAGTCCCGGCCGAGCCCCGCCGCGGGCGGCCGCCACCGCACCAGGGCGTCGACGACGTGAGCTCCGCCGGCGGCGACCGCGGCAAATATAACCACACGCGTGTGCCAGGGCGGCCAGGGCGGCCAGGGCGACGTGGATGAGTGACAGCGTAGGG